AAATAATCAGGACAAGGCAAAGGAAAACTGAAGAATAATCAGTACAAGATACCTGTTATTAATAGTTTTCAGACTTGAATTCTGTACTGATTTTTAGGCGATAAAGACAATTGTACTACTGTCTTTGTCCTCTTATAAGAATTCCTTAGCCTGCATTTACGCTGCAAATGGCTATGTTTTCTGTCTGATTTATGTAGTTGCATTCAACCTATAGGTTATACATTAAATTTCTATATTGATCTTTTTGTACAGGTAATATTCTCTAGGTGAATTTTTTGTAAGTTGTTCTTAGGACTGTTCAAATGTAGATCTGTTTTGATCAAATGAAGGTGTCTTGAACCAGGTGAACTAAGGAGCACATTAAGCAAACACAAAGGACCCATATTCTCTCTGAAGTGGAATAAGAAAGGCGATTATCTTCTTACTGGAAGTTGTGATAAAACTGCAATTGTGTGGGATGTTAAGGCAGAGGAATGGAAACAGCAATTTGAATTTCATTCAGGTGGAGATTTGATGATATATTAAGTTAACTCTGTTTATCAACGAGTTGTTAATCCTTGGCCAAAAAAAAAGTCAATGAGATTTATTTTCTTTTTGATATGTTGTTTAGGTCCAACTCTTGATGTTGACTGGCGTAACAATGTGTCATTTGCAACAAGCTCCACTGACAATATGATATATGTCTGCAAGATTGGTGAAAACCGCCCTATAAAATCTTTTGCTGGCCACCAGGTTTGTACTCATGATCTCTTTTATTGTATTATAATATAAAATAATTCTCATGTAACACTGTAACTTGGAATTGGGAAGAGAGATGGGTTGATCATTAACTTGAATTTGTTGTTGATAAAAAGTTAAAATGGTTGTCATGGTTTACAAACTCAACAGGCTAGTGGGACACTGCTTTCAAGATGGGTCCTGCCAGCTTTCCTATTATCTTATGTTTATTAGTTTCAATCCCATTATAGCCTTGCTTTTTTGCTATTTCTCATCATGGTTAGCTGAGATTGATTTGATATAAATGGCCTGTTGATTTTGCAGAACACAGTATTTCAATTTAATTCGTTTAGGTGCAATATGGAGCTTGGATAAGATTTTCTGGTTGATAATGAATTTTCTGCAATTACAGGGTGAAGTTAATTGTGTCAAATGGGATCCCACAGGCTCATTGCTGGCCTCCTGTTCTGATGATATTACTGCAAAGGTAATTTTTGGCCACTTATTTGAGGGAATGATCTATTTATTGTGTCATGACTCGTGTTTTTTGTTTTGGGGTCTACAGACTGGCATTTTCAACGAACTCTTCGTTTTTGTAATCTTATTTTTGAAAAGCAAAACCTGCCATTTTGCATGAATTGGTGTTAGTTTTTTTTTTTTTTTTTTTTGGGGTGAATACTCTGTGTTAGTCGTTGTTCATTTTATTGATAAGTGATAATAATCCATGATTGTTATGTAGATATGGAGTATGAAGCAGGACACGTATGCCTATGATTTAAGGGAGCATTCCAAGGTACTCTGGGCTTTTGGTTTTGTATTATATTCTAATGATATTTCTCATATATTCGATACCGTTTGATTTCCTTGCCCTTTGTGTGGCCCCCCCCTCCCCAAATAACTTCAATAATTTTTTGTAGGAGATATATACAATCAGATGGAGCCCAACTGGTCCCGGTACAAGTAACCCTAACCAAAAATTGGTGTTGGCTAGGTAAGTCTGTTTCTTGGTTTTGTTAGTTATGTGGAGCCCTTGAATATATAATTTATTTAAAATGTGTAATTCCAGACTCTGTGGGCCGTGGTTGATAAGTGACATTTGCAATTCTATGTTAACTTATCACGGGTTTGATTCCAACTAATTATAATTTGGTTTACAATGTTCTGTCGCTGAACTTGTAAGCTGGCTTCTACAGCTTATTAAGTTTTTATAATCAAAATCCATTTGAATTTTATATACTATTTTAGTGCAGTGAGGTTTCTTTATAACTGCTGGTGATTCATGTCTTCATGTTTCTGTAGTTTCACTACGAGGATCAATTTCTTCATTTTTCTTTTTGCGGTTGTTGAAAGTATGCTTTTTAAGTATTATGCGGTTGCCTTTTCATGCAGTGCATCATTTGACTCGACTGTGAAGTTGTGGGATGTTGAAGTTGGGAAACTCATCTGCAGCTTGAATGGACACAGGTATTGGTTTATAATATGTGAAGCAGTCCTCTTTTGCTGTCTTTGTCCTTTTCTTTTCCTGTTCCACTGTATGAGACATTGACAAGGCTAATCATTATTCATAATGGACAATTTGACGACTTCTATAGGCCTTGGGAGGGAATCACTTAGGTTCTTACATGCTATATTTGGTGACAGGGATCCTGTTTATTCTGTGGCATTCAGTCCCAATGGTGAGTATTTGGCCAGTGGATCTCTTGACAAATCCATGCACATTTGGTCATTGAAGGACGGGAAGATTGTGAAAACATACACTGGCAACGGAGGCATTTTTGAGGTCTGCTGGAACAAGGAGGGTGACAAAATCGCCGCATGTTTTGCTAATAATACAGTTTGTGTTTTGGATTTCAGAATGTAACCCTGAGAATGCCCCGCAGTTAGCTGTTGCCTATGAAATTAAATTCTTTCTTTCCCCCCTGTAGGCTAGATTGGTGCAAGTGTATTTTTATATGGGTAGGTTTTCATTTTAACCGGTGATTGTAAGCAGAACTCCTTGGATACTGCTGTAACTTATTGCCCTAAATCATAGTGAAATAACTTAGCATGCGTAGTCACATCTTGATCAATGTCCACCTCCTTTGTCAAGAGAATATTTTGGATGATAGTCCTTATCTAGTTCTCTTTTATTGATAAGAAATCCGTTGTTTACTTTAAGGTGTGTACATATTTGTAGGAGTGGAACCCTCAGTTAAGCTAAAGGTCAATTGCGTGAGGTATGACTTTATTATTATTATTATTATTATTATTATTATATTTTGATTGCCTATAAGTTGCATTTTAATTTAATTGTAGGGTCGGGAATTAAACGTGAGTATTATTATTTTTTTTTCAGCGAAGATTTGAATTTTGGTTTCTCATGTTGTAAAAGTCTTTTTTTTTTGGGTTTTTTGTTTTTTGTTTTCCTCTTTTGGTTAGACCCGTTGGTGTGGGGTGTTTGATTTTGATTTTGAACTGGCCGGTCTGATGTGCTCAGGACAAATTGCTACGGATGTTCAGCTAGAGGATACGAGTTTCGATTGCTAGTCCCGATCCAACAGAAGGGGGGTTTCTTTCTCAGATTTTAATGAGAAGCAAGCCATTATTTTCGTTAAACGTAGGAAAATTTTAGTGATCCTTTGTGTTGGCTAGAGTTATTAAAAATATTAAAAACTAATTGTACATGATAGATCAAAGAAATTTTTTTTTCTTGATAAAATATATTAGAGAATTTTAACAAGAAACAGAAGTAAGAAAGTAATCATACTCCTACTAAATTATTTTGTTGATTTTCTTAATCCATATACTTGTCATTTTAAGTACAGCCTTATCAAATACACGCATGCATATAAAAAAAAAAGTTATATAGTTTATAAAGTATTGATATATTTCGATTGGATTATGATATAAATTATTGTTAATTAATTTATATTTTCATAGAAATATTAGTTAAATTCTTGAACTTTTTTTTAAAAACTTTTCACATCTTTTATAATTGTGCCATTGAGTGTAATAAATATGATATTAATTTATTCAAAACATCTTTATTAATTATTACTCAATAAAGTAAGTATATAATTGACAAAATACACACACACACACCCACACCCAATGTCCTATTTAGGACTGCATAAAAGATAGGACAGCACTGAACTTTATCCTAACGCAGAGTTCGGTCTCTTTCATGAAAAAAATTAGGTTAGGCAATCCGTAGTCTGATTTTGTCCAGTGATAACTCGAAAATTAACAAGACTAGACTTGGTTCATAAGACTAAGAGACTGTTCCTGTCAGTTCAGTACTCACTTAGCTTTTTTTTCCCCTTTTATTCCACGAGAGGCAATAATCCATTTCAACATAATAAACTCAATTAAAATAGTAAAACCACTTAAAATAATAATAAATTCATAATAATTTCTAACAATAAAAAAAAATATTTTTGTTATAGTTCAAATGATTTAAATTTATAACTTTAATAAAAACAGCACTCAATAAAATTCAACATTACATTACAACAACAATTTAGAAACAAACTCAACAAATCTTCATACAATCATCTCTTTAGCATTAATAACGCTTCAAACATTTGTCAAAAATAAATTAATTATAATTATAATAAAAAAATAATAGAACTGGACTAGACTAAGTGGTTCGGATGCTTAATCTCTTGTCTAGTCCAATCTGAAAAAATAGTCTAGTCTTTTCAATCTTTTTGGTCATAAAGGATTAGTGTCTATATGGACCGAATAAAATAGATATCATCTTGAGTTGGACTGGACCAAATAGGACTGAAAGACTTTTGCACAACCCTAGTCCTATCTATATATATTATTTTGGATTAAGTAAAACTTCTAAAAAAAATATTTATACTGTGGTCCGAAGGAAATATGCATTATCTCAAATTTCATGCAAAACATGTGACTAAGTTTTATTTTTAATGATTTGGGATCAGGAATTTTTTTAAAAAAAAATTATCAAACACAATAATATTGATAAGAATGCTGGGAAAAAAATATTGATAATTGAGGGTACTTTGTAATTGTTTAAATTAGTTAAAGGAGCTAAAATTATCTTATTATGGGACCTTTAGTTTGAATTTTAAAATATACAATTATATTAAATAAATGCATCAAAGATATTTTTGAAATAGATCCCATAACGAAAATTTGAATTAATTTAAACGAGAGATAGTAATATTTCAGATTTCTCAAGACATCAGGAAATGAAATAAAAAAAATAATATTGACAAGGAAATTATCAAATACCTTTGGATTTTTCCAAATACTAATTATAAAAATTTTATTTTAAACAAATTATAAGCTTTAATCCTCATTAATCATTATCACTAATGGGCCAATGTTGCATACGGCAACTAGGGTTTAGCCGTTCAGCTTCTTGACCGGAAACCCCTGTTTCGCTGTTCTGAAGTCTGATAGCTCTCAGTTGCACGTTGCCGAGTTGAGCGAAGCATAGCAATGGCTTTGCGTGGCGGATCTCTTTCAAGGTCTATAATCGCCGCCGCCAGAACCTTCTCAAATCATTCGTCTCCGCCGTCTATCTCTCGCCTTCGCCGCCCTCCATGTCCGCTTCGATCATACCTTCTCGACTCTCGCCGCCCCCTCATTGCAGTTCCTAGGTACCTTATCTTCTATTTATAAGAAGTCAAAGCCTTGCTCTTCTTTCTTTATTTAATTTAGCTCTTTTCGTTTTTCAAGGACTTTGGGCCTGTTGGGCTGCGCGCAGTCGCTCTTGCCTCTGCACAGTGCTATTGCTGACGCTCATCTTACTTCCCATATCTCTATCAAATCTCGTGCTTGTTGCGAGTTGTCTCAGGGTAGTTGTTTCTTCCTACTTCCGTTTTTGTTGCCATTGGACTAAGTAGATCACTCAACGAATGATATAACTAATGGTGCCATGATTCGTATTGCCTCTTTTTAATTAAAAGATAAATTCGCGAAATTCGACTCTAAATTTTATCATCATATGCCATCGTTCTTCTCTGCTGCGAGTTCCGAGGCTCCCATACTGTCTTTATCCATTTGCAATTTTATGGGTACCAGTTTGTGATAGTTTGGGTTATCGTCGTGCTTGGTGTCTGCATTGAACTTTCGAAAGCCAAGTAGTTAGAGGCATCCAAACTTTATTAGATCTCGTTGGGAATTTCTTGCAAGTTTTCTGATAAAAACATAACAAGTGGCGACGAAGTTTTTTGAAGGAATTACTTAAAAAAAAATTGAAGAAATTACTTATGTGATATTAAGTTCTAAACGATATTGAATTGTCATTTTTTTTTTATTGAATAACAATCGTACCATGCTGCATAAGAGGTGAGACTCAGTCTTCCCCTTGCCCTGACGAGCAAACAAGATACTTACTGAAGTCTTTCTCCGTTGTTTTTAGTGTTTTCAAAAAAATACTATCGTTGATTTTTTTTTTCCAGATTATTTTATGTTACTCTGATTAACAAAACTAGTTTCCAAAACTCACCTCTATGATTTGGCCGGAATTTCTCTCGTAGTGCATTGGTTGTTTAATTTGCATAACGTTAGCCCCAATGACAAGTTCAATTCTCCACAACCTATCCTACTGAAGTTCGCTATTTATTATGTCAGTATGTTCCTCTTTATGTAGTTTATTTGATTTAGGAGACACTGTTGAAATGTTCTTCATTTAGGCCTCCTAACTTTAGTCGAATTTTCCTTGCGGGCATATTTATTGTATCCGATGAGTCTTGTGATTAATTTGCAAATTCTCTAGTTAACTGACGTTTGCATTTGTGTGTAACAGGTACTTGAACAGATTTTACAATTGGATAGAGTTGCATACATTTTTACAGCTGGGGAAAAAAATTACGGCTGATTCCGTGAAACGGGTAGCTTGTCGGTTCTTTCTAATCATTTGGGTCATTGCTCTTTCTTCTTCCTGATATAATTGGAGGTTTTAGGCACAGTGCATTTAAGAAATATTGAGTATATGTATTCTTCTGCAGAAAAATCTGTCAAATCTGGTTGAAGGGCATAGACTTGTTTCTCTTTGTACGAAAAATTATGCCCAAAAAAACAAAATTGGAAGCATAGATACTTGTACGTCAAGAATAAGATGCTTGTCATGAATCTAAATCAGTGGCTGACTCACCTGCACTCGCTCTCTCTCTCTACCAGTACCAGTCATGAGTAGTCGTGGCTTCTTCAAATTTATCTAAACTTAACCATGGACCTCTGTCAATATAATGATGATGACCTCCTATTCATGATTACGAAAGGGCTCAACCATATTAAAGCATCCGCAAGCCACTGAAACTTGAGGAAAGAACTAACCAGTTGCCACTGAGTTTTGCCATTATACAAACTCATCTCAAGATATGATTTTATGCCTCCCATTTAGAACCAGAGAATAATTTGAATATCCTGGACCTATAGTGAGATATTGACGGAGAGAAGGCCAGCAACTCATGAAGCAAACTCATCTCGAGAGAGAGATGATGTAGCCATGATCATTTCGTTAATCAATTCTGTTAAACTGCTATTATGATGTCTCCAGTATATAGTTTGTCACAACTGTATCCAAGTGTTCGGTCAAACTGCTTTCTGCAGTAAATGAAGGATAATTAAACTTGTAGCTTGTATTGTCACAGGATGTGTAATGCCATCAACAGATGCTTGATCATTGTATCCAAGTGAGTTTCATGTTTTCATGAATTTGTTGCCTTCACAAGAAATATCGTGCCAGTTGGGAGAGACTTACATTATTGAAATAACCTAGGCTATGGATACTTGGCAGTTTATTTATATTTTTGCCAAAAAAAAAACTACTTTCATTAAAAAATATAAAATATATTTAACTGAATCATATCTCTAAATAAGTTAATTAATTATTTTTAAATTGCTACCATCTTTTTATGTTTATTCTTCTTTAATAGCGTCTCTCTTGAAGGTAAATGGTTGAGTGCTTTATTTATTAATGGTATTTTTAGAGAAAAAAACTCATTAATTACACATTTAAAATTAAAAATATCTTATATTTTTTAACATCTAATTTAAAAATTTTTTTTATATTTTTAAATGAAAGGAGGATGTACATGTATAAATTGTTAATGAAAGATAAAAGAGAAAATTTATGATAAAAATTTTAATGACATAATTTTAAATAGGATAAAAAGGTATTCACTCTCTATCTTATCAATTGAATAGGAAGGAATATTATATGTATATGTTGCATATAGATATATTAGACTCCTTTTATCCTTTCTGAGACTTTTTTATGGGGTTAAATATTGGAGACCACTATAAAAAATTTGAAATGGAGTTCTTGTCAAGTGTGACGTGCGGCGAGATTATTATTTTGAGGCATCCTGTTGTCAATGTGTCTCATGTTCAATGGCTGCATTGTTTAGCACATCACGTACTGGTGTTAATACTTAGGGATAATGAGTGACATACCGCTGCATAAAGAATTAGATGGAATTAGACTTTTTTGTTTTTTTTTGCCTATGCATCCAGTATCCTAGGCAAACCATCTTTCAAGTGTAACAACGGTCCAAACTAATTCAGATTCGCCCCAGACTTTAACCTAATATAAATATAGTCTCTTTTATGAAAATGATTGAGTTAGGTAATCCATAATCTGGTTTGGTCTAGTAATAATCCGAAGATTAACAGGATCAAACTTGATCTATAGAATTAGACTGATCCTATTAGTCCAGTACTCACTTAACTTTTTTTTCTTTTTTTATTAAACAAAGCTAGCATTCAAGACTTAATAACAATTATAAACGGTTGGGTTTCCAAAGTAAGAACTTTCTTCATCCGCCTTCTCCTGCTGAAGAGGTGGGGGTGATCAAAGGTACAAAAATTACTAAGCAAGCTATGTGACATCGCTTAGCCATCAGCTAAAGAATCACAATTTCTAGTAACATGGGACAATATAATATTCCAATCTTTATACAAGATACATCTACCTTCGTCAATGACGTCCTTAAAGGGGTGACCATCATCACAACCTCTTAAAAGTAGTTGGATAGCATCAATGCAGTCAATGTGAACCTCCACTTCTTTGAAACCAAAATTCCAGCAAAGTTGAAGGCCTTGAATGATGGCCAAGATCTCTGCAATAACAGAGGGAACATTAATGAGCTTGCAACTAAAACCTTTAAACCACCTGTCATTCTTACCCCAAATAACTCCACCGCAACCACTATTACCATTAACTAGCACAGAACCATCAACATTTACTCTAATGATATCATTCTTGGTTTATTATTCATCCTAGGCTCAATGTGATTGTAAGACAACAAAAGGGCTAAATTAATTAAATCAAGATCCGAACAAGCCCTAAAGAAAGTATGGAGAATTGAATGGTGCTAAAATTCATTTTCATTTTCAAAGGCCATCTTGCATCTATCTATCCAAACATCCCAACATAAATATCCAAAGAGAATATCCCATTTCACCTTTTTGGTAAATTCTTCCCTACTTCATGCAATGACTTTTTTTTTTTCCCTCTATGAGAGGCAATAATCCATTTAAATTTAATAAACTCAATTAAGATAATAAAAACACTTAAATCATAATAAATCTACAATAATTTCCAACAACAAGAAAAAAAATATTTCAATTACAATCCAAGTGATCCAGATTATTAAATTGTTAGTTTGAGCGCGCAACTGTGCTAGGAACCAAACTTGGTAAATTATTAATAGTCTTAATTTATTATTATAAATAATTAGTAAATTAATTATAATTATATTAAATAAATTTAATAAGACCAGAGTGGACCAAGTGATTCAGATGCCCAGTTTTTTATCCAGTCAAAAAATAGTCTAGTTTCTTTATTCTTTTCAATCCTAAAAGACCAGTTTTTAATAGGACCGGACAAGACTATACCTTCTAGGACCCGATTGGGTTGAATAGGATTGGAAGATTTCTGCATAGCCCTAACTGATAGGTTACAAGGGGATCAATTAATTCAAATTAAGTTTCAACCAATTTTAAAGTGCCAAACTCTAGAAATTCCAAATTTGGCTCTCAATTTTTCAATTTCATTGAAATAAATTTATAACTTATACTCTAAATTTTAATAGGAAAAACAAATTTATTTATTCTTCAATGATGTTAAAATTTGAAAAAAAAAGTTATAAATTTATTGCAATAAAATTTTAAAATTGAGAGACGAATTTGCAAATTCTTAGAGTTTGGCACTTTAAAATTGATTGAGATTTAATTTAAATTAATTGACCCCTTTAAAGCCTATTTGTCATTCTTTCTAAAACTTGGCTAGGCATTCTGCCCCACTCTAGTATAGCCATCATAGAGTCTTGTGTCCCTCTATGTTTCATTGTGGTTTCTTTCTTTCTTTCTTTTATCACAAAGGCAAGCAAGAGCTTAAGGGATTAAAAACTAGGAACTAACCTAAAAACCCATAAAAGAAAATAACAAACTCACGAACTAGTATATTGCTTATCTTCTAAATATTGTCTCAAACATCCTGGAGAAACAATAAGTATCAATATAATCTCTGAATCAATAGCCTTCTTGACTTTGCTAGAAAATCAACACATCCAATATTATCCACGTTGGTATAGTGAATTTTCACTTCTCCAGCACCATAGATAGCCTCTTATGTCTTGGAAATTTCCACCCCTAGAAGATGATTAATGATACAATCTCTTCTCAAAAGGTTGATAGCATTAATGGAATTAGAGCAAAGATCAATTTTATGCAAACCAAGTTGCTTGGCAGCTTTCAGACCTGTCTTAATAGCCATTATTTCAACTTCAACAATAAAGCAAAAAACCACATCTCTTGTAAACCCAATGATCCACTCCTTTATGCAGTTGCGTATAACTCCGACACATACAGCTCTGTTATTATTGATTACAAAACCACCTATATCGACCTGACAGAGCCACTTGGAGGTCTTGTCCAACTACATTCATGATCTTCTATTCCTTGAAAAACCTTTAGTGTTGGAGCTCAATGTTTGGAGCACATTCCAGTTGAAGGAAAATGCATTCATGAATAACTTCTCAGCCATTTCTAGTGTCACCTTCAAAGACAAGTTTGCATCTCGATGTCCATAGCAGCCAACAAGTCAAAGCAAACACTCTTGGCCAAGGCCAAGAGTGAAATCTGCCATTGCTCGGATTATGCTTCACATTCCACATGAGCTAGCCCTACAAATTATCAACAAAAATGCTAGATAGAATAGTATGATTTAAAATACAAGACCAGACTATTTTAACTCTCTCCCAATCTCCATCTCTGTCCCGTTGTGGTTTTTGTAACATCCTGATTTTTTTAGATAAAAAAATTGTTGTGAAATTTAAGTTTTTATTAAAAAATATAATAATAATAGGAATTTATATTATTTGAGGTTATTTAAAAATAATAATATGGTTAGAAATTTAATTATGAATTAAAAACTTAGGTTTAAAATTACATAAGAAATGTTTAGTTAAGATATAAATATTAAGATTTAAAATATATATAAATAATTTTTTTTTGGTGTGAGTTAAAAAAAAGAAAGTAAAAAAAAGGGAGGGGGTTTAGTCCCATATCAGGTAGATGTGGGAAGGTGAGGCGCCTCCTCATGTATAAAAGGAGGAGGCGCATCAGTGGAGGAAGCAGAAGAAAAAGGAAAGTTTATGCAATTTGTAAAAATTACAACTAATGACCCAAGATGCAATTTGTAAAAATTGCAACTAATGGCTCAAAAGTTTGAATAATTAAATTCAGACCTATAGTTTTTTTAATATAATTTTAGGACCCACAATCCTATTTTTATATTATTTTTCTCTCTTCCTCTCACGTTGCTCGGCGTTTTCTCGCAAGGGGGGATTATTTTCTTTTTCTTCAGGTATGTTCCAACTTTCCTGTTTAGATTAGCATTTAAAAAATTATTTAAGTACAAAATTAATTTTATAGTTATTTTCTAAATAATATTAGTTTTCTAGTGATATGATTATTTTGTAGAATAGAGAAAATATTCTGATTAGAATTTTTCTATAGGATAGTTAATCTGATAATATGATGGATTAAAAATATAGGTTAAAGCTCTTAGGAATATAATAAATATTATAGAATATTTTCTTGAGGCTGAAACTCATGTTTAAGAATTTTTGAGTTAAAATCTAGATCTATATGGTTGAATTTATGTGGAATCTGAGATGTAAGGATGAACCTCTGATTATTAAATATTTATTTAAGAATGAATAGATATTTTTGAGGTTATAGAAAGGTGATTTGAGGCTTAAATATAATTTATTAAGTTATGAGAATTTTATAAAAAGAATTTGAGAAGTTAAATGAGGTATAAATTTTAAATTAGTGTTAATATGGATTTTAGGTCTAAGACTTTCTAACTCTTTAATTTAGAGTTATTTATTAATTTTAATTTAAAATTAATATATAGTATTGTGAAATAATTATGTAGATTATATTGACAAAGATAGTGGTGAAAGAGGAGTTGTGAAGGGGAACTTGTTATTCAAGACACAAGGTAACCATTATTAATATATTGTGATGGGTGTGTTTGTGAATGGTTTTATGTTGTTTTATTGTTTGGAAAAATTATGAATTATTGAAATAAATACTGTATATACTTGTTTGAAATTATTGTCAAGTGGGTTAAAAATTTATTTTTGTTTATCATGATGAGATATTATTGTTCGGATATATTTTTGTTTGGATATTTG